CACCTCTCGGTCAGCCATTCAATTCGGCTCTGGTGCGGCCAATTTACCGATAGAATCCATCAACGTAACGGCTTTTTCAAGATATTCGTAACGGTGGATGAGATCCAAGCTTGGCAGTCCACTTGAAAAAAATGGGTTTATTCTCAAACTGAATTGCCGTTGTTCATAACCACTGACTATGGTTGTGTTATTGTACATTTCAATAAGTACGTTATGGATAGAAGAACCAAATTCATTTGTAACAAACTGCCGTAATTTGGAAGTTGTAGTAAAAACATTTTCGAATTAAGAGAAGTTTTGAGGTCTTGAAACATGAAAACTTTTACATCCAGTCCTACCAATCACATAAGAAAAACGTGAAGAGGTTGGTTATACAAATCAATGAGCCACATGCAGATTTTTTTAGCAACAAAATGTTTTATTTTTGATTATCGTGCATATGAAATAATTTCTTTTATTATATAGAGATTGAAACGATATGATATGAAATCACAAAAAAATGTGTGATGCCAAAAAACTCTATAGGTGACGTGGAAGTGTTGATAAGTAAATATATTCTGGAGAAATTATTTCTCGCGAAAATTTATGCAAGGTATACCTATATAGGACGCATACTTTCGTGATGGAAAGTGTTGTTAGTATTTTTGTTTATTGAGAGGTTTCAGTTTTGAGTAATTAGGTATCTAATAGACCCATCGTCCCGACTGTATGTAAGCTAACAAGAGAAGTGTCAAGTCAGATGTATTTTTGTATCTTATCCAAAGTTATTTATTGATTTGTTTATTTGAAATACAATACTCTACAGGACATAGCCCAATTACAGAGCAGGAAATAACAGAGTATAATAAATACATCACAAACAGGTGACTATAAAGACTACACATTATATATTTATAATAGGTGACAAAACAATTATTTCAGGAAGTGGGATTTTATATCTGACAGTTTGCAACTAAATATATCTAAATTATCACTAACAGCGTTTGTCACTTTACACATGGTATAGATCGGAGGATTCTCCAGAACATTTGTGCATATTAAACTTTTCCAGTAATGTTGGGCAGTCAACTATACTTTTGATAATTTTATAGGTTAGTGCAACATTATAATATTCACGCCTTTTTTTGAGACTCAAAAAGTTATGCTTTTGTAGCAATTCAGAGTGGGTTGTTCCTATTTCAGGATAAATGCCATCAGTTTTTAGGCTTAGCAGTTTTGAAAATCGTCGTTGAATTGCTTCTACTATATCTATAATATTGGTAAAAGGGACTCCACACAACTGACGCGTATTCTAACTTTGATCTAATGAAAGCATAGAATAGAGTTTTTAAGGTCGAAGTTTCTTTGAAATCACTACTATTACGTGCAATTAGTCCGTACAAACGACAGGAGGAGGTTACAACATTATCGATATGCCTATTAAATGATAGCGCAGTGTCAAATGTGACGCCAAGATCGGTAAATGTTTCTGGTCTCACAAGGAAAACGTTTTCTATTGAATAATCAAAGATCAAGATGTTCATTTTTAAACTGTAGGACATGACCTTACATTTATCCGGAACAAGTTATTTCGATAACACCATTCTACAACCCGTTCTAAGTTTGCTGAGAGGTTCACACAATCACCTATGTTCTCAACGAGGCAGTATAGTTTTAGATCATCAGCATACAAAAGGAAATATACATCTATAACATCTGCAATATCGTTAAGTTATTGAAAACTATTCGATGATTCAATCCAGATAATAATTCTAGAGTAATTACCTCGAAAGTCCAGTAGTTAAGTTGAGAAAGTGTTAGTATGAACTGCAATAGATGTGCCCGCAAAAAAAATATGAAACCAATTTCACATGCACTGGAACCGTTTTCATTTATGGATGAAACTTACTCATAAGACAAAATAACGAGATATGCAGATGAAGGTCCAGAAAAATAAGCACTCTAGGACAAAGTCAGAAAACTGACAAAGAAAATAAATATTGAACGAAAATAATTGTATAATTCGAAATAAAATGCTGTAAAATTGCTCAAGCCTCTCATATTCGAGATGATTTCAATTTTGCGATCAGAAATAAATTGCAACAGAAATATTCGCGCTTCAGGCATTTCGCCTCTTACAAGAGATAATATTCCGACATAAACTCTCAGGATGTCCCACATTTTTTCGGAAAAAATATTACACTCGTGTCCTCGGTTGCTATGCGCGTGTAACTAATAATAGAAATCAGGAACAAATATGATACCGATAAGTGGTATCTAGCAAAGCAAAACAAATATATGCCATGAGCGATAAAATATTGAAAACAGGAGATACCGTTATCTTTTTTTATTTAACAAACATATCTGTTGACGTGTTTACGATTAAGACGACGCTGTATGGAATTTGATTCCTCTCAAGATAATAATCGAGTGAAAGAATTAGGTTCAATATTTTTCTTAGTCAGGCCTTGTATACATTATAATGATTGTTGATTTCATATTCATCATTGAGACAAGACAAAACTGTGGATTTCACCGGTTTTTGATAGTTGTAACAATTTTCTAGTTTTTTTTCTATGAGCGATATCTCACCTGGCGGGGGTATTCTGAAGTCCCCCGCTACAGACCGATGTAACGGATATACAAATGAAGATTATGGGCTAAGCGCCAACATAACTACACCTCCGCATCTCCTTTAGCGGTTATTGGATCAACAAACCTAATATTACCCAGTAACAAGCCCAGCACGTACACTATTACAAAACAATCCCAATTATAAACCACTATTGCCAATTTAGAATCTATTAATCAACGCCTTATTCGTTTAAAAGACCGGCAGTAGTAATTTCAGACACAATAGCAAGACCAAAATTGCTACAAGTGAATAACTACTCGAAATTACCACTTGCTCCGAACAATAATCGAACTCTAGCCATTTTAGACAGACCTTGTTACGTCACGGAATTCTAGACACGTAACGATGACGCGCCATCAATGCGAGTGTGTTTGTGTTTTGTTTTCCGTAGCATTCTCTTTGGTTAGTTGAATAATTTCACATTCGAAAGTCGGTATATGCCTACATCCGGTAGGAACTGATAAAGAGCAATTTTCAATTACTTTCCATGTCAGTGTACGGTACTGATAAAGCTGTAACAACACCATTTCCATTGTTGAACTCGGTTTTTTATCGTAACGGCGGAATCGATGATTCATCAAGCTTCAACGGAATGATAAATTGTAAATGCAAGCAAAACCCACCAAAAAGACTATATAATTCCTTTACTGAAGAAAAACGGCATAATAGAAAGCTTTTGAGCAAGAAGTACAACTCTTATTTCAAATACAGAATCAGAAAAGTGTTTTTGAATGTTCATACTTCTATTTGGAAATCTCGAATACCCACACAAAACTTCTACATTTAGAACCATGCTGCGGTTGTTAAGACCTCTGTAATTACCACATTTTTAGAAAAGAAAACTTTTTCAGTGGGGTCTTGCAATTATTCACTGAATACTGATTCATGTTCTCTAGATCGTTCATATAAGTCACGTCTTTGATGAAGCTTCCCAAAGATTCGGACATATTTTCAAATAAACAGGACATTTACAGATAAACTGATAAACTACAGTCGTAAAATTAATACAGTTATATTGTTGTCGGGCAATAGTATTCCGTTAAAGGGTCAATATTTTCCAGAAAGAGGTAAAGCTCATCTTCAAGTTCAACAATAAAGTTGTAAAGCATCTTCTTCAATATATTTTACTATCGGCAATCAAGCAACAGAGAAAAACGAAGAAATATTTTGAATTTGAGTTGCAGTTGTGCTAAACGTAAACTAGAAAATTTTCAACTGATATAATAATGTAGTGACTGAATGACTAGAGATTAATTTCAAAACATTAGCAATGAAACAGTGATATTCAGATTTGAAATCGAAACCTTGCATTTTCAAGAAAATCTATAGTTTTCAAATATTTGGCCAGTGATCAACTTGGACAAATGTCACCATTGTACACGATTTATTTGCATTTTTGAATAAAAGTCACCTTCAACATATTTTAAACTAGATTTTCGCAACATTTGGATTTTTGCAAAAAAAAATCGTTCTCCAAAGTACCCTTCCTGTTAAACCTACTTTGTAAAGAAAGAATGCACCCATCAAATGTTGAATATTTTCTTTTGAATTCAGCTGAACATCTAGCTAGACAAGCTAGCAAAAATATTTTTACTTATATCGCAGAGCAATACAGAAATAATGATTATCAATAATTATTGATAATTGAACAACCATTATATTAGTTGAAGGCCAAGTGTTCCAAAAAGAACTTGATCATAATGAGTTAAAGTAAGGATATTTCAATACAGAATATCTTAATTTAGGTTAAATTATCTATGCTAAAAAAATCAGAATATTTACTACTTTCTTTGAGAATGTGGTAGATTTCTGGAAGAATATTGACCCCATCCAAGCTGCCAAAATATCTGGATACTAAATGAAACTAACCACATCCATAAAGTACACTGAGAAAAAAATATTGAATTATTATTTTTTTATTCAACGACTTTGTACACCTACGATTTGTTGTTATGATACGCTTATTGACTGGCTTAGTGAAAAAAGAACCGTCCTAGTTCTTTCTTTAAGCTGTCTGAAGGTGTGAAAATAAGGTTGAAGTATTCAAAACATTCGTAACATGAAAAATCTACGATAAAAGTTGAGGAAATATTTATTGTAACTAATGATGATTCACGATTTGAATAGTATTTAGCTATGTTAACTAACTCAAAACGTTGAAATGAATCTATTGGCCTTCTGCTTGCTACACATGCTATTTAGGAAATCTCACTAGTAGCAATTGGAAATACTGTATTAACATCAATGGTGGGTGGGTGATGATTGAAATTGGTACATTGGATTTTTTTGATTCTCTCAATCTACTAATGGATTGTTTGAATTATCGGATATGGGTGCGACAACCAAGAGAACACAAATCAGTACGCCACCTCTAAAAATACCATACCGTTCGTTTTGAATGCGGAACCAGAGTCAAAGGAGGTCGTCCTGATCGGATGCTTCTCCTGCTTGAAAGTCCTCTCCGTAGAAATGACAAAAGGTTGCGCCAAAGACACAGCGGGTAGAGAATCCCCTCTAGTAAGAGGAGGCCTAACGGCCGTACCGTGTTCCTCCACAGACATCATCCTCTTCGTAACGCTGCCGTCCCCATTAGAGTGATGATGACCATGGTGGTCATCCTCATCGGTGGCGGACAGACCCCGCTTGATGCCCTGCTGGGACATGGCACTGGGTCTCCCGTTGCTCGGATGGTGGTGAGCTGGAATCTGGTGGTGGGCGGCCATGTGGGCCGTCGACAGTCGTACCGCGGTACGCGCGACGATATCGTGCTCGGGGGTGGCCTCTAGCTGAGGGCGGGACATGGCCGAGCTGCCCCTTGGCGGCGGAGGCGGTTGAGCGGCCTGGTACTCGGCGAGCATGTTGGACCGCGAGTGGTGCAGGCTGTAGGTGGTCGAGTGATGGACGGCCGTCTGCTGCCTGCTCGATGCCGCCGCCGCCACAACTTCCCCGTTCTGGTGCTCGTGAGCGGAACGGTGCGTCTTAGTCGCATGGCGCGGCTGCTGCTCCTGGAAGCCGTGCGCCCGTTTCATCTGGCGGGCCGTCTCCAGAACTATCTCGATCCGGTCCGCCCCCTCGTAGTTGACGCACCCCCTGCAAACCGCCTCCGAAAAATCATGGACCATCGCCCAGGGCATCCTTGGCAGGTCACAGAGGTAGCACTGCTGCCGCTTGGCCTGCTGAATTTGCATCACGGACATCTTCACTGAAAATCAATCTCTCACTGATCCGAAAAAGTACAATCGACACACTGTAACACGTATAGTAACAACGTCTCTCGCTACGCCATGCTCTTCGCGCCTAGCGGTAAACGATACAAACCGAACACAAGCGCTTTACTAACTGATTTCTCGAATGATGCACGGGCCCCTTTGCTGGCAGCGCGAGGCGGTGGCGGGGGTACGGGTCTGGCTCGGTAATCGTTATATCGGTGACGTCACGACGATCCGGACACCAATGGCAGCCAGCGCTACGTCACGATTTGCGCGCGCTGCAGCGGATGAATGCCGCCGCTGGCTCGGTAGATGCGAGTGATCCGGCCAGCTTGAACTAGAACAACGCGGTGTTGCCGTTGAGCGTGAAATTACCCAAATTATATAGGTAATTTTGAACCTCATGGGAGTTCCAGTATTTTTTGTAAAAATAAGTGGATATTTCGGTAAATATTTTTTTTGAGAGCACACGGCGATTTTTAATAAATTTTCGAGTGTAACTACGTATTTTGATGCGTAGATTACGAATCCGAAAGAAAAAAGCGGCGCTCTCCCTTATTTACAAAGTTACAGCCCTTCAAAGTTCAGAAAACGGCAACTGCCTTTCTTTTTCACAGGATAAACTATTTAAGAACAAAAGCATTTATTCACTAGGTCACCTTTACACCTCCTTAATTGCCACTTTTCAATTCAACAATCAACATTTTTCTTATGAAAAACTTAATTTAAATGCGAATGGTTGCATCAGTCGTACCAACTATGCCATCAACTTTAAAAACGTAAAATACAGAGATATATAACCAAAAAGTAGTTCCGTACAGTTTTTAACATTTTTATTGAAAAAATTGTTGATTGTTGAAGTGAAAATTGTCTAGGAAGCAGAAATAAGGTGTAAAGGTGACTTAGTGAATAAATGATTGCATTTTCAAACAGTTTATCTTGTAAAAAAGAAAACTGAAAAGTTTCCCTTGCCTCAACTTTGAAGGGCCGTAACTTTGTAAATAAGGGAGAGCGCCGCTTTCTTTCGTATTCGTAATCTACGCATCAAAATACGTAAGTACACTCAAAATTTTTTTTCAAAATCGCCGGGTGCCCTCAAAACGAATATTTACCGATATCTTTCACTTTATAGTATGTATTGATATTTCGTTGATGAAAAACCACGTTGGAATGGTCAGATTATCAGTTGGATGAATTGAAACATTCAAATTAGATGAAAACTACGTGACAAGTAAAAGTACATAGGTCTCAAACACACAGGTATCTAAAGACTTTACTATATTTCACGAATAATAGTCGCTAACATAACTTATTGTATGTAAGGAAAAAGAGTATGATAGATACAATGCAGAAATATTTTCGTTTATTATGATAACTAATATTGAAATTACAATGCTTATTTAGTAATAGCTCACTGGGTTGAGTTATGTAAATAATTATCTTGTTGACCGGAGTAAATGAAAAAAATAATACTTTTTTATAGATGCAAAATAAGGTATTTTTCCATAACTTGTGATTATTCTATTGAAAATTATTCTCTTATAAACATCTTCTCCATTGGACACGGTATGCAATTTATAATAGTAAATCTGGCAACTCTGGGATAATGTATATTCGGACGTACACAGCGGGATATGCCTGATTTGATAAATGAGTACGTAGTAGGCCCAAAGTGATGTTTGAGCATATTTTGTTTACACTGCGAATGTCCTTTCATAAAGGATGAAAAGCAGTCGGAAATAACCGTTCCTTATTAGGGTTAAACTTTGAGGACATCATCTGGAATATAGAAGGCCCTACTTTACATATAATTCAGATAATTTGTTAGTGTTTTCGAAGAAAATAGCATTCGTTTATTCAGTTATTCAATGAACAAATCTTGAAACAAACAGAACATGTAAAAATTATGTTCTCTTGAAAAAATTGGTTCTATTAGTGTATGGGAATCAGTGAGAAAATCCTGAAAGAAATATGATTTTGAGGTGATTTTCACGATCTAGAACCATTTCTCCATACTTTTATAACTGTCTTTTTGGACTTTCTCCCTCCCCATTATTACATCGAAAGTAGGAAAGGAACAAATCATAGCTATGTGTCAAAAACTTTTTAGAACAAATCGTAGATTTGATGGAGATATTGATGGAGAGGTAATAATTCAAAATCGTTTTTTTAACGCTGATATTTCACGACTCTATGTATAGTCGTTCGAAATAAACATATATTATCTAACTACATACACGCTAGTTCGTGTAGTGCAGAATGAAAGTATCTTGTCGATATGTTGTTCCATTCACCTATACAATAAAAAAAAATGGAATAATATTAAACGCAGTTGAATGTTTATCCACACGTGACTTTCAAACGTGCTCTTTGCATTCGGAAATGGTGTCAAGCAGAAACTATCAAAACAAGTATTCAAGTGAAATGAATGATGAAACATATTAAATATCGTGACAAAGAGACAACGGTAAAGTTTTCCATTTTTTGCTCAGTTTCGAATTTCTAAAATTTAGTGACAAGTTTTTTAAATTCTGGCTACAATCTCGGAATTTTTGTTGAATTCCGATTTCAAACTTGGAATTTCTATAAGTTCTGACGTTTACCTTGGAATTTCAATGAATTCCATTCTTGAACATTGAAATTTGATGAATCCCAACTTAAACCTCGATATTTCACTAAATTCTAACTTATGAACTCGAAATTTTATAAAATCCCTATTTTAAAGTTGGAATTTTGCAAAATTTCTAATTCAATCTCGGAATTTTTGTTAAATTCTAAGTTCAAACTTGGAATTTCTATAAATTCTAACGTTAAACTTGGAATTTTAATAAATTCCATCCTTGAACATTGGAGTTTGATTAATACGAACTTAAAACTCGATATTTCATTAAATTCTAACTTATGAACTCGAAATTTTATAAACTCCCTACTTCAAATTTGGAATTTTGCAAAATTTCGAGTTCAATCTCGGAATTTTTGTTAAATTCTGATTTCAAACTTGGAATTTCAATAAATTCTGACGTTGAACTTGGAATTTTAATGAATTCCATCCTGGGACATTGAAGTTTAATGAATTCCATCTTTAAACTCGATATTTCATTAAATTCTAACTTGTGGAACTCGAAATTTTATAAAATTCCTACTTAAAATTTGGAATTTTGCAAAATTTTGAGTTCAATCTTGAAATTTTTGTTAAATTCCGACTGTGACCTTGAAATCTAATAAATTCCGACTTCAAAATAAAAATTTTGCGGTTTTTATTGTGTGACCTTTCCCGTATTCAAACGACAATATTTTTTGTTAGATTCTCTTTGAAATTCCTGATTTTCCATTGAATTCTGACTTAGAACTTAACATTTTATTGAATTCCGACTCTGAACTCGAAATTTAATAAAAAGCATAGGGAGCAGCACGTGTGCAAAAGTGACGATTATGTTGGTTGCCAACCGTTTCGCTGTAAATTATGTTTTTTTTTGAAAAGCCGCAGATGAAATGTACATTCTTTGACATCTTTTGAGACTCTGATAAGATAAAGTCAGCTAACTTTTTGTTGCTACGAGGTGAAACAATTAAAATTTTCATTATCTTATCGAACTCACCAATAAATCGTCAGTAGAGCACTCCACACTGAAAATATATAATTGAATTTGATTATCTACAAGAAATAAAATACGGTTTCTATTGCCTAATAATATTAGGCAATAAAAAACGAGACTAATTTGACGACTCTTAAGACAAACAAGTGAATACTTTATTCTATCCAGCCTTTCTTGTCCTACATATTTTCGATTGATCAGATCATGTTTGATAGTCACCTGTTCGTGAATGTTCAAACGTAGGGAACATTCGATTTGATTTGATACCACGAAGTCTTAGTAGAATAGAGAGAGAAGTATGTTATATCGCCTAAGATGTCACCTCTGTTAAATATAGGGTCTTTCATTAAGCGCTTTCAATCTTTAAAGTTAAATAACAGCAGCTTGACAGAATTAACCTTTCTCAATTTTATATCATGTGGATTAGTTTTCCGATGGCATTCCAGTATAGCTACCAAAATTTTTCTACCGCAGTTGTCGGTTGATTGGTCAAACCACCAACACTGACATAAAAACGTGGCAAGTTGACTTGGGTGTCACACCAATAGGTGGTTCCACTCATGTCTCGTTTGCGTTTACGCAGTTACTTTTATCAAGTACTTTTCTTAGTTACTCACATTTTGTCTTCAATCGAGGACCGCCTGCCCAGTACTAACGATGCCCAACAGGCTGAAACAGCTGTCTACCGATGGCTCTTAAATTGAAATCAATGTTTCACATCGATATTGGGTACTCTTTCGTCTACTCAAGAATTAGATGAAATATTCCCGAACCCACAAATCAAATCAAAATTTCCTATCAACAACAATTGTCTCAGAAGATGCAGAGGAAAATAAAGAAGTTCTGGAATTATCTTTCTTTCACAAATTCGAAAAAACCACCATGAGTATATTTGTCCAGAACTTTATTCCTCCCAAGTACGCCGCTAGTGTCCACAGTGATCGACGACATGTTTGTGGCCCTTTCGTCTCCTTAAGTGCTTATAAAAAACGATTTGTTTAGTCTAGTTAGAAATATATCAAAGGCAGGACTTCTACGCAAGTCACTAAGTGGCCTCAATTATCTTTTTAAAGAAAATGATTTTTAGTCTGTATCAATAAATGGGAATAGACGCATGCTTTCATGAAGCAGTGTTTAACTTCAAGTCAAATAGCAAGAATACAACAATTACAGTCCACTCAAAGTGTTTCCAGTCATTCCATGGTCCTTCGAGCCGGCTTAAGCAAGAAAAACATTCGGTGAACTCGAATCAAACAAGTGTGTGAGCAAGCTGGTTATCAGTGTCTACCATAGAAGCAGAGAAACTCCAAAAAATCGCCAACAAAGTGAGTTCCTTTGAATCTACATTTATTTTTCCAAACATTCCAAATACAGTTTCGATTTGAAATCTAGTTCAAATCAATTACCAATTCACAAATTAAATACAATACATACAGTCCACTCAAAGTGTTTCAAGTCAGTACAATATTTCTGATTCAATTTCAAGAAATTTAACTTCAAATTCCTCATTCCCTTGGTCCAATAATGGGAAGAATCATTACATCCGTGATTACTGGAATGAAAAAAGGGAT